ACTGGTCTGCTACTTACCACTTCCTTGTTCATTTAACACAGTTCTTCAAGGATGGCAGGGCCTGAAGGAGAGCCAGTTTGGTGTAGTGCAGGGGTAGGCAACCTTGGCTCTTTTATGACTTGTGGACTTCAACTCCCAGAATTCCTGAGCCAGCATGAGGGAACTTTGGCCCCTTCATGACTCATGGACTTCAACTCCCAGAATTCCTGAGCCAGCAAGGCTCAGCTTGGAAACCTCTCCCTTTCCCCTCAGCATGGCTGGCTCAGGAATTCTGGGAGTTGAAGTCCACTAGTCATAAAAGAGCCAAGGTTGCCTACCCCTGGTGTAGTGGTTAAGGTGCTGTGAGGTCTAGTCCTGATTTTGCTGTGAAAGCCAGTTGAGTGACTTTGGGCCAATCACCGGGAGTCAACAGTGAGTCAATCCTAAAAGGAATCAGCCCAGACAGTCCTTTCGAAGGACAGATACTGAAGCTGAAGCTCAAATACTTTGGCCACCCAAGGAAAAGAGAGGAGGACTCACGGGAAAAGACCCTGATGCTGGGAAAGGCTGAAGCCAAAAGGAGACGGGGAAGGCAAAGGAGGAGATAATTAGATAATGTCATCGATGCAATGAACATGAATTTGGGCAAACTCCATGAGACAGAGGAAGATAGGGAAGCCCAGCATGCTGTGGTCCATGGGGTGATGAAGAGTCAGACACGACTTAGCAACTGAACAACAAAAATTACAGGAAGGGAAATCCCAATGGAATTCTGGGGGAGGATTCTAGCAGCCTGATAGTGACATCAAATGATGATGATGATGCACATGGTTTAAAGTTCCAAGTTTATTCCTCATGGTTTTGGAGAATTGAACAGCTTCTATACTTAAGTAACCTGATTCATGTTATACTTTTTACAGACTCAGTCCCAAATAAGCTGGTGTATATCCTTATTTTGTTTCATGTGTAAAATGTTGCGCAACTCTTTCAGAAATGCTCAGAATAGCCCTTATTGCTCCTGAAAATGTCAAAATGAAGTGCTTTACACACTCCCAAATTTAGGCAACTCACACCTTATCTGTGTTCCATGGAAGAGAGAGTTGTTAAGTGGAAAATAACCACTTAAATAAGGAAACTAAGCTATTTGATTACATTATAGCTGTTAACATCTATTCTCTATTTGGTAGGTAGGTAGGTAGATAGATAGGTAGATAGATAAATAGATAGATATTAGATAGATAGATGATAGAAGATAGATAGATAGATAGATAGATAGATAGATAGATAGAAGATAGATTAGATAGAAGATAGATAATAGATCGTAGATTAGATAGACGATAGATAGTAGATAAAGATAGATAGATAGAAGATAGATTTGATAGATAGATAATAGATAGATATAGATAGGATAGATAGAAGAGATAGATATAAGTAGATGATAGAAGATAGATTAGATAGATAGATGACAGAAGATAGATAGATAGATAGATAGATAGATAGATAGATAGATAGATAGATAGATAGACAGACAGACAGACAGACAGACAGACAGACTCATTCTGTTTGGAATTATATCTACATATACATATACATACACACAGGGCTTTTTTTCTCATAGAACACCCAGAACGGAGTTCTAGCATCTTTTTTGGATGGAACCTTGTAGGGTAGGCAAGGTGGAGTTGTATGACATGTGTGAGTTCTGGCATTTTTTTTTTTTTTTTTACAAAAAAAAGCACTGCATACACACATACACACATACTCTCATACACACTCTCCTTGTGCTTGGCTCCCCATCACCGAATGTGTCCAAACAATAAGGTGACCAACCGTCCTCCTTTAGGGAGGACAGTCCTCCTTTTTTAAGTTCTGTCCTCCCTTGAAAAGTGTCCTCCTACATGTCCTCCTTTTCGATATTTGAAGACTAACGTTTTCTTTTTTCTCATAGAACGCTCAGAACGGCGTTCCAGCACCTTTTTTTGATGGGTTTTTTTTCGACTTTTGCATGAGCTGTGCTATTCCCACTATTGGCTTTTGAAAGCCAATAGGAATTGCTGCTGAGCGCGCCAAAACACCCGGCCGGCAAACTTTGCACATGCAAGCTGTCTGTGTTATTGTTGCAATAAATAAAATGTTTCATTTATTTACGATATTTATTTACGCCTCATTTATTTGTGTCCTCCTTTTTCACTGTAAAAAAGTTGGTCACTTTACCAAACAGAACGAGGCCAGTCGTCTGTTGGGGGAAACTTCAATTTGGACTGAGCAAGGCTGCATTCCACGGCCCTTCCAGCTGCTGGAACGGTACAACGGTGCACAGTAGCACCGGTGGCGCTCCCGGGCCCGAGGCTGCCCACCCGGGGCTCAGTTGCCGGCGCTGGCAAAGTCCCGCTCGGGACCACGCGGCGGCAACAGAGCCCGGAGAAGAGCAGCGGGGTGGGCAGGGCTTCCTTTGCGACCTGGAGAACGGCTTCGTGAACCGCGTGGGGCGAAATTGCCTGTGGAAATTGACTCGCGAGGAAATTGTGGGGGGAAAGGACGAGGTGTGTAGGCGGGCCGTCAAAGGTGCTCTCCCCTCTTTGCAGGAGAGGAAAAAAGTTCAGCAGATTTTTTTTTTTTTTAATGTATTGATTTACATCAGTGTTTCTCAACCTTGACCATTTTAAGGCATGTGGACTTCAACTCCCAGAATTCCACAGCCAGCAACGCTGGCTGTGGAATTCTGGGAGTTGAAGTCCACATGCCTTAAAATGGTCAAGGTTGAGAAACACTGATTTACATTTTGTTCTTCGCATCGTTTCTCAAACGGGCTTCCTCCCTCAATAGCGTCTTTGGATGGGGGAGCTGCTGAATTTGCGCGTTTTCTGGATTTCCACAATATAAAAACTCCTTTACTACCACCGAGAGGGATAAAAGAAAAGGTATCGGTATATTACGATATATTAGCAAAAGACTCTAACCTCGACGTGATTAATCCTGAAACCGAAAGAACAAAAGGGAAGGTGTGGGAAATGTTATTATGAACAGAGAGAAACGTGTGGCTTTTTGGAAACGTGCCTTCTTTGTTCCGTTGTTCGAAAAAGGAAGAAAGGAAACAATTTTAAAACAACAACGTATCATAAAAATGCACTGGTGTGAGTTTTCTCCTTCTGTTCTTGTATCATTTCTTTAACCAGTCCCGAGGCTCCCAAATCCCATAGTTTGTGATAATAGCTCTCCAATAATAGGCATACAGAGCCTCAGAATGTGCACATTCCTCACAAAGCAGATTCTGTATTAATTTATTTACTTATTTACTTATATTTTGCCACCTTTATTACTTTTATAAGTAACTCAAGGTGGAAAACCTATCCAACACATCTTCTTTCTCCTATTTCCCCCTCAACAGCAGCCCTGTGAGGTGGGCTGGTCTGAGAGAGAAAGAGAGAGGGGGAGAGGAAAGAGAGAAAGAGAGAGGGAGAGAGAGAGGGAGAGGAAAAAGAGACGGAGAGAGAAAGAGGGAGAGGAAAGAGAGAGAGAGAAAAAGAGAAAGGGAGAGAAAGAGAAAGGGAGAGAAAATAGAGGGAGAGGGAGAGGAAAGAGGGAGGGAGAGAAAAGAGGGAGAGAAAGAGGGGGAGAAAAAGAGGGAGAGGAAAGAGGGAGGGAGAGAAAGGGAGAAAGGGAGAGAGAGAAAGAGGGAGGAAAGAGGGAGAGAGAAGGAGAGAAAGGGAGAGAGAGAAAGAGGGAGAGGAAAGAGGGAGAGAAGGAGAGAAAGAGAGGGAGAGAAAGGGAGAGAGAGAAGAGGGAGAGGAAAGAGGGAGGGAGAGAAAGGGAGAGAAAGAGAAAGGGAGAGAAAATAGAGGGAGAGGGAGAGGAAAGAGGGAGGGAGAGAAAGAGGGGGAGGAAAGAGGGAGAGAGAAGGAGAGAAAGGGAGAGAGAGAAAGAGGGAGAGGAAAGAGGGAGAGAAGGAGAGAAAGAGAGGGAGAGAAAGGGAGAGAGAGAAAGAGGGAGAGGAAAGAGGGAGGGAGAGAAAGGGAGAGAAAGAGAAAGGGAGAGAAAATAGAGGGAGAGGGAGAGGAAAGAGGGAGGGAGAGAAAGAGGGGGAGGAAAGAGGGAGAGAGAAGGAGAGAAAGAGAGGGAGAGAAAGGGAGAGAGAGAAAGAGGGAGAGGAAAGAGGGAGAGAAGGAGAGAAAGAGAGGGAGAGAAAGGGAGAGAGAGAAAGAGGGAGAGGAAAGAGGGAGGGAGAGAAAGGGAGAGAAAGAGAAAGGGAGAGAAAATAGAGGGAGAGGGAGAGGAAAGAGGGAGGGAGAGAAAGAGGGGGAGGAAAGAGGGAGAGAGAAGGAGAGAAAGGGAGAGAGAGAAAGAGGGAGAGGAAAGAGGGAGAGAAGGAGAGAAAGAGAGGGAGAGAAAGGGAGAGAGAGAAAGAGGGAGAGGAAAGAGGGAGGGAGAGAAAGGGAGAGAAAGAGAGGGAGAGGAAAAGAGAGGGGGGGCCCCTCAAAGTTGCCCAACTGGCTTTCATGGCTAAGGCAGGACTAGAACTCACGGTTTTCTGCTTTCTAGCATGATGCCTTAGCCACTAGATCAAAAACAAGGACTCAAAAATCACCTCCCAAGTTTCCCATTTTTGGGTTACCATCTGCAGGATACATCATATCATTCCTGAGGATTGGACCTTCTTATAATCGTCTTTTATTTGGATTTAGCTCAGTAACTATGTTCTGAATGATTTTTAGACCGACTCCCATCCTCCTTACTGTTTTCCTCTAATACACCTAGGCATACCCACTGAAGGATATAATACTTATTTTTTTTTCCGATATTTTGTTTGCATCCAGCCTTAGAACTGTCATAAATTTCACTTTGACTCCAAGGAGCTGGACGGGCGCCAGGAGAAGCAAGAAGAGCCCAGAGGGGCTTTCCCACCGCCCCCACGAGACCAGGTGGCGGGGGTGTTTTTTTTTCCCGCATCAGGTGATGCTGTCCTCTAGAGGGCCGCCGTTCACATGTGCTGATACCACACAGGAAGCCCAGAAGTGAAAGTAAGAGAGCAAATTGGGCACAGATTTAAGCTGAGGTCCTTCTGAATGCCTGCTGTGGCGTTTAGCGTCTTGCTACTGATGGTTTTTGCTTCTTTCCAGCCCGTTCAAGGTACGATCTTCTCCCCTCCCTCCAAATCTCTGGGGCAGCTTGATTTACGGTTAGCCTAGGGTTTTCAGAAAATGCAACCAAACCAGGAATGCATTCCCCTTTTCAAAACTCTCTGGATTCAGGCTGTAGCCATTGGCACCTGATCTGAGCAACAGGAAGGGGTGGGAGATATTTCAGGCAAAGTCCAAAGGGCATCCTGTATATCTCCCATGTTCAGACGGGAAAGAGGTGGTTTGAAATGGAAAATAGGGAAATTTGGCTAAAATTGGGAGACGCCCAGGTGCCTCAGTGTCCCATATGCTTTCCCTGTTGGGAGTGGGACATTATAACCCACCGGACCACGATCAAGTTCTTGGTAGACTCGGAACCTCCTTGTGATCTTTAACTGCTGAGATAGAATGATAGACCTTGGTGTGAGTCAGTCTTGACTCCTGGTGACTGCCTGGATTAATTCCTGAAGTTTTCTTGGGAAAAAAATGGGAAGTGCTTTGCCGTTGTCTTCTTAGGGCTGAGAAAAAGTGACGGGCCCAAGGTCACTCAGAGGGCTTTGAACCTAAGGCAGGACTAGGATTTTCCCTCCACTCCATTTGATAGGAAAGAGAGTCAAGGTGGGGCAGTCTTGACTTTCTTTCTCACACTTTCCTGTTTCTCCAGACTGTTGTTGTTAATTGCGAAGTCGTGTCCGACCCATCGTGACCCCATGGACAATGTTCCTCCAGGTCTTCCTGTCCTCTACCATCTTCTGGAGTCCATTCTCCAGACTAAGCTGATGTTTTCCCCAAGTCAGTGATGGCAAACCTTTTAGAGACCGAATGCCCAAACTGCAACTCAAAACCCACTTATGCATGGTCGGGTGCCGGGTGGGTGTGGCCCATTGGGTGGGTGTGGCCCATTGGCTGGGCGTGGCTGTGGTGGTAACAGCAGACTGGGTGGGACTAAAAAGTTCAATCAATCAATTCCAACTTTGCAAGATCTTTTTTTTTCCCGTGAGAAGTTGAAATTGACTGATTGATTGATTAGGCGGAGGCCTAAAGCGAAAAGGTTTTATAAAACCTAGCTGAAGGCCTAGGACTGGGGCGATGGCACGCGTGCCCACAGAGAGGGCTCTGAGTGCCGCCTCTGGCACCCGTGCCATAGGTTTGCCATCACTGCCCCAAGTTTACCGTGTATGTTTTTCAAAACTATCACTGTCCTGTTCGATACCGACAAATTAAGAAAGTGTCATTCCAAAACACAGGGTTGGGGAAACTTCCTAATTACAGATAGTCCTTGACTTACAACCATTTGTTTAGTGACCATTTGAAACTATAACAACACTGAAAAAGTGACTTACAATCAGTCCCTCTGCAGCATCCCTGTGGTCACATAGTCAGTATTCAAGCGCTTAGCAACAGGCATGTATTTATGACGGTTGCAGCATGCCAGGGGTACAGGATCGCCATCTGCCACCTTCCCAGCTGGCTACCAAGAAGCATAGTCAGCGGGGGAAGCCATATCCGGTTAACAACCGCATGATTCACTTAACAACGACAGTGATTCATTTAAAACTCATGGCAAAATAGGTCATAAAATCGGGCACAATTCACACAGCAATGGCCTTGCTTAGGAGTGGAAATGCTGATTTCAGCTGTGGTTATAAGTTGAGAACTACTTGTGGTTTGTGCCAGGTGCAAATTGGAGGAGTGGGGAAACTTACTGTCCCCCCAAATGTTCCAATGGATTGTACAACCCAGCCTTTTGACCCAAGAAGCAACACAACCTCTGGCTTTAATTTGTGACAGGTGACGATCTCCGCCCGCCTCAGAACCTCACTTTTGTCTCAAAGGATTACAGTCTGTTCGTGAAGTGGTTCCCGCCTGATGGTTCCCCACCGGGAATGTCCTATACCGTCCTTTGGATGTGAGCATCGGAGGGAAGGGACGTTCGTTTTCAGGTCTGGGGGCTCCAGTGGGTACATTGAGGCCATATTGTGTTCATTCTCCCCAAAGGGCTGCCATGGTGCAGTTCTCCACCCATCTCAGAGATACCAAATCGGGAGAAGGGGGGGGCGGATGTACTGCATACCTCTGCACGGGACAGGAAAATGGCTGCTAGACCACAATGGGGCATGTCTGGTACAAATTTGCAGTCCTGGTAAACCAAAGAATGGTGATTTGCCAATGATGGCTATACTGTCATCTGCTGTATGAACTCAGAGAACTGTGGTATCATCCACAAACTGTTGTAGAGCAAATCATGGTTTAATGTACTGCCTGATTTGGACATTATTTTGAAGTAAACCAATCCTAAGCACAGTTTCCCGATACTGATATAGCTCATAACACAGTCCCCCCTTTTAAATAGGAACTCTCCTTGCCTGCTTGCCTGCCTGCCTGCCCCCCCTCTCTCTACATAGATACATACATACATACATACATACATACATACATACATACATACATATTGTCAAAATAATGATCACCAAGAGAATATCTATCCAAAAATAGAATTTAATCCACCAAGCTTTCGTCAAATACATTTGACATTGTCAGGGTTAAAAGGCAAACGCCGGGGGAAGTCTTATATACAGTTGTTTAATGCCTGCTTCCGGCTCCTGGAGCGTGTCATCGGCCCCAGCTGATTGAATTGAGTCCCAAGTACACACACCCCCATCAGCACCTATCCTCTTTCCATTGCTAATTTGCATTCTGTCTATGACTTGGGACTCAATTCGATCAGCTGGGGCTGATGACACGCTCCAGGAGCCGGAAGCAGGCATTAAACAACTGTATATAAGACTTCCCCCGGCGTTTGCCTTTTAACCCTGACAATGTCAAATGTATTTGACGAAAGCTTGGTGGATTAAATTCTATTTTTGGATAGATATTCTCTTGATGATCATTATTTTGACAATATGAATACTCCCAAGAGTCGCGTTTTTGTTTTTATTTCTCATTATATATATATATATATATATATATATATATAGATAGATAGATAGATGGATGGATGGATGGATGGATGGATGGATGGATGGATGGATGGATGGATGGATGGATGGATGGATGGAGGGAGAGAGGGAGAGAGAGAGAGAGAGAGAGAGAGAGAGAGAGTGTAAAACTTGATCACCAGGAAAAGTTAAAACATTAAAAGTTTTAAATATAAAACACTAAAAGTTTTAAATATAAAACATTAAAAGTTTTAATAGTAAAAGTAGAAACCTAGCTTTCGTTGGCTCCTGCCAACATCATCAGGGCGTACATAAATCCATGGGAGTAAACATTTATAAGTGAGTTAACGCCTGCGCTCGACTTCTGGACCGCTCAGCCTTTCTTATGGTCCAACTTTCACAGCCCTACATTGCAACTGGGAAAACCGTGGCCTAAACCGTGGCCTTGACTATACGATGGACAACCCTAGTGGGAGGCATTTAAGACCCACCCTGTGCCATCCTGCAGGATTCGGTGTGGAAGAGAGAAATCACAGCATTTCAGGTGAATGCAAAACTTAGATGGTCCTTCTGATTTATTTATTTATTTATTTATTTATTTTAGGGATTTATTTGATCTTCAGTGGGAGGAAGTGCAGCACTGCCGAAATATCACTGAAACCATTTGCAATATTACTTGTGTGTTTCAAGAACCAAGCAACCGATATTGGGTCAAGGTGGAAGCTCAAAGCAGAGCTTGGGCTGGATTCATCTCATCAGTGCCTGAAACCATCGATTACATCCTTCAGGGTATGATGATCTGGTGGGTGTAGCTCTCCTCTTCCCAGGAACAAGGGGGGACATGATAGCAGTATTCCAATATCTCAGGGGCTGCCATAAAGAAGAGGGAATCAAGCTATTTTCCAAAGCACCTGAAGGCAGGACAAGAAGCAATGGGTGGAAACTAATCAAGGAGAGAAGCAACCTGGAACTAAGGAGAAACTTCCTGACAGTTAGAACAATTAACCAGTGGAACAACCTGCCTCCAGAAGCGGTGAATGCTCCAAAACTGGAGGTTTTCAAGAAGAGACTGGACAGCCATTTGTCCAAAATGGCATAGGGTTTCCTTCCTGAGCAGGAGGTTGGACTAGATGACCTCCAAAGTCCCTTCCAACTTTTTTATTATTGTTATTGTTGTTGTTATTGTTGTTATTGTTGTTGTTGTCCATGGAGTCACGATGGGTCAGACACAAGTTCGCAACTAGCAATAACAACTGCAACCTTTCAACTTTATAGGACTTGTAGATTCAAAATTCCTGGTGGTAGAAATTATGGGAGTTGTATTCCTATTTCATCTATAAGGCAGCCAGCTAGGGAAGGTTAGTCTAAAGAAAATATGACATTCTGGCTCCAAAAATCCAGAAAGACACAAACAGCTATTTCTAAGCAGTTTCTTTTATTGTTCCTCACCTAAAGACATAAATCTTGCCAAAGTAAAGCATCTACTTGCCTCATTAAATATGGACTCTGAGAAGCTCTAGGGAGGAACTGTCTTGACCCTTCTCCTCCCATTCAAGCTATCTAAACTTCATTGTCTCTTGGTTTTCTAAAATGCAGCCCCTCCCTCCTGGGAATCCAGGTTACATGCATCACGCTTAATAATAATAATAATAAAGTTGGAAGGGACCTTGAAGGTCATCTAGTCCAACCCCCTGCTCAGGCAGAAAACCCTTTACCGTTTCAGACAAATGGCTGTCCAGTCTCTTCTTAAAAACCTCCAGTGTTGGAGCATTCACTGCTTCTGGAGGTAGGTGGTTCCACTGGTTAATTGTTCTAACTGTCAGGAAGTTTCTCCTTAGTTCTAGGTTGCTTCTCTCCTTGATTAGTTTCCATCCGTTGCTTCTTGTCCTGCCTTCAGGCGCCTTGGAGAATAGCTTGACTCCCTCTTCTTTGGGGCAGCCCCTGAGATATTGGAACACTGCTATCATGTCCCCCCCTCATCCTTCTCTTCGTTAAACTAGACATACCCAATTCCAGCAACCGTTCCTCATATGTTTTAGCGTCCAGTCCCCTAATCATCTTTGTTGCTCTTCTCTGTACTCTTTCTAGAGTCTCAGCATCTTTTTTACATCATGGTGACCAAAACTGGATGCAGTATTCCAAGTGTGGCCTTACCAAGGCATTGTAAAGTGGTATTAACACTTCACGTGATCTTGATTCTATCCCTCTGTTAATGCAGCCCAGCACTGTGTTGGCCTTTTTGGCAGCTGCAGCACAGGGCTGGCTCATATTTAAGTGATTCTTAACCACCTGCTTTATTTTTTTCCAGTGCAACTCGCTCCTCCAGTTCTCAAAGTAAAATATACCAGAAATATCCTTGATGTGAATGTTTCTTTCACCTACCCTTCTTGTATGAAGGACGTCTTTCAGGATCTGACCTACGATTTGGAGATTTGGAGAGTTGGATTCCGGAATTTGGTGAGCCAGAGAATGGTGCTACTGGGTTTGTTCGCAAAATATTTATTACAATTGTATCCTGCGCTTCTTCCAAAGATCTTCAGTTGGTGAAGACTCTTTTCGCCATGACCAATGAAATAAAATATAGGATCCCTTGCACATTCTTTGACCTTATTTGCTATCTAACAGTGGAGGGTTTCTTTAAATGCGAAGGGCTTTGTCTCCTTCCTCCTTTGATGGGATATTCAAAAATAATAAAAAAATAAAGCATCTTAATAAAACAAGGATTAAAATAAATGGAAAAGGACAAACCAGGGGATGGCAGCCTAAAAGTTAAATCTGTTGCCACCAGATGCATCTGAAGAATTCAGAAGAAGGGCGGGAAAGGGATAGGCTTCTTCCACCATTGTTCCCCAGGAATTAATAGCAATAGCACTTAGACCAGTGGTTCTCAACCTATGGGTCGGGACCCCATTTGGGGTCGAACGACCATTTCACAGGGGTCGCCAAACAACGCCATTTTTCTCCCCTTTTCCTTAGCTATGCTACTCCCTTTTATTCTATTGGCTTTTGAAAGCCAATAGAATAGACTCTCTTGAATAGAGTCTAATTCTATTGGCTTTCAAAAGCCAATAGGAATTGTCCAGGCTGTCTCTGCCCTGCTAAGCCTGCTGAAATCCCATTCTGCAAACGGTGCTGCACCAGTTGAGTAGTCCTTGACTTACGACCGGTTGAGTAGTCCTCGACTTATGACCGGTGGGGGGTCGGGGCATTAAAAAGGTTGAGAACCACTGACTTAGACTTATATACCACTTCATAGTGCTTTACAGCCCTCTCTAAGCGGTTTACAGAGTCGGCATATTGCCTCCAACAATCTGAGTCCTCTTTTTACCGACTTCGGAAGGAAAAAGAAGCTCAATCAACCTTGAGCCGGTCTGGATCGAACTCCTGGCTGTGGGCAGTGAATTAGCCTGAAATACTGCATTCTAACCACTGCGTTGCCATGGCTCCTTTGGTGAGGTCTGATGTCTAAAGTCTGCTGCCTTGATTTGGAAGTTAGGCAAATAGCCAGCAAAACTAGTACTTCTTGTTAGCTCAGTGCCCCAGGAATATTTCATCTCTTTTTCAAGGCCTCTAACTTGGAGACCATTCTCCATATCAAATGGCAGTAATCCGTATCCCTCCCATGTTCATCCATCCTCCGTTAATTGTGTGACTCGATTTTAAAGATACAGAAGAAGAAGCCCAGGAAGGGGAAGTTGGATCTTAGGGATGAGTGCCAAGTCTATTGCCCTCGGTCTGTCTGCTGTGCTCTTTTGCTAATGTTTCTGTTGGGTTCAAGTCTGGGTTTGCCTGTTTTCCAGGTGACTATATTAGAGAACAATCACAAGCCTTCAGTGGAGGTCCCCGCCACAGAGTGGCCGGATGAGGAACACTGCCTTCGTGCCCGAACATCCTTCTTTAGAAATGGAGACAGGAAGCGGAGCAACTTTTCGGAACCACTTTGCCTGTTGTTGCACCAAGAAGGTACAGAAGGAGTCCATGGTCTAGAGCAGGAGTAGGCAACCTTGGCTCTTTTATGACTCGTGGACTTCAACTCCCAGAATTCCTGAGCCAGCATGGCTCAGCTTGGAAACCTCTCCCTTTCCCCTCAGCACGGCTGGCTCAGGAATTCTGGGAGTTGAAGTCCACCAGTCATAAAAGAGCCAAGGTTGCCTACCTCTGATCTAGGTTTATCTGTCTGTCTGTCTGTCCGTCCATCCGTCCGTCATCTAGGTCAGGGCTAGGCAACCTTGGCTCTTTTATGACTCGTGGACTTCAACTTCCAGAATTCCTGAGCCAGCATGGCTCAGCTTGGAAACCTCTCCCTTTCCCCTCAGCATGGCTGGCTCAGGAATTCTGGGAGTTGAAGTCCACGAGTCATAAAAGAGCCAGGGGTGTCTACCCTTGGTCTAGAGCTCAGTGAGCATGATCCAACACAGAAAATCTTGGCGTAGGATTGCAAACTTCCAGTTTTGTGCACCCTTAGTCAGCGCAACCCCATTAAAATAGTGTGTGATTGGTCTTTTGATACAGACAAGAAATACACCCCAAATCCAAGAGTCACAGAAGTCCGTGATGACTCTTCCTTCATTTTGAATTGTGAATTGTGTTCACCTAGAGTCATTTGCAGAGATGAGTGGCTGTAGAAATCAAATAAACAAACAATTAAATTTCAAGACAGAGTTGCAGAGGTTCCTCTTTTTCCTTCTTTTCGCTGGCTGCTCCAGAGAATTATCTGCTATGTGGGCGCGTTTTCTTGCTTATCACGGTTTGGCTTCTTAACATTTACCTTGGTTTTTGGGGTGCAGCTCCTCCTTGCCTTTGCTAGTGGCCTGGAGCAAGGTTAGCTCCAGGTTCAGGGCTCTTATTTGGGTACTATATTGGTCCCTCCTATCACACAGACATGGCAGTTACTGGGATTCTCTCAACAAAGGGCACAGTGGCTGCCAGAGTTGAGCAGGATAATAATTCATTGGTAGAACAAGCAGCTTGTCTTGAAAAGGTCCTGATTTGGTATCGCCAGAGAGAGCTAGGAAAAATCACTTGAAATTTTGGATCCTAGACCATTCCTTGATATTGTCAGTTCACTATAAATTGGAATATGTTGTTTAGCTCAGACTTTTTGGACCTGGTATTCTGTAGAGGTGTTAGACTTCAGTGGCTGACTTCAGATAATATGGTAATTAACAATTCCAACTTCCTCTCTATTTTTTTTTATATAAATATTTTATTGAGTTTTATAAAGATAAAAGGGGAACAGGATCAACAAAGGTGGAACAAGGGGGAAAAAAACATACAAAAAGGTTAAGCCAAGGGAAGGGAACAAACATAAAAAAGGGGGATTATTCCCACAAGTTGACATCGCTTCAGCGTAGACCCATCCAGGTATACATACTGTATTAAATCTTAAAAAGTAATCTAGTATTAAACAGCTTACAATGGCTAATTTTACCTATAATTTATTTATTTATTTATTTATGAGACTTATATACTGCTTTAAGTGCAAGCACTCTCTAAGCGGTGTACACCAGTAAGCAATGTATATATATATATTTACATTGCCCCCAACAATCTGGGTCCTCATTTTACCTACCCCGGAAGGATGGAAGGCTGAATCAACCTTGAGCCGGTGAGATTTGAACCGCTGACCTGCTGAACACAGTCAGCTAAAGTGGCCTGCAGTACTGCACTCTAACTACTGCGCCACCTCGGCTCCTATAAATAAAGGGTTAATCAATACATCTCATTCATTTTGCTGAATAACAGTGCTTAATATTAATTGGTTATAGTATCTTTAAAGTATTAATATATTACTTATTAATTATATATTAAAAAAACAAATTCTTCTCTATTAATATCTGAACAATACATTTAGTATCTCATAATCATGTTTGTTTGTTTGTTTGTTTGTTTTCCAGCAAGAAAATGGGAAATCATTGCCTTTCCTTTGCTTGCTATATTGGTTATTGGTGGTGTGATGCTTTTCTTCTGCTACAAACAGATGATCAAGCAAGCTGAGATGCCTTCAGTTTTGGTATGGGAAGTATGGAAGGTGTTGGAAATGAGTATGGGGAAGTTGAACTTCCATAACAGTGGGCATCTTTTCATACACAGAGGCTGCACAGATGTGAGATGGATGCCCTGCCTACGCATGCAGGCACGTGGGTCTTGCATGGGTTTTTCACAATAGCAGTAGAATAGCACTAGTACTTATACACCGCCCATAGTGTTTTACAGCACTCTTCAGGCATTTACAATGCAAGCATTTGGATATTGCCCCCAACAAGCTGAGTCCTCATTTTATCGAGTTCAGAAGGATGAAAGGCTGAGTCAACCTTGAGCCTGTTAGGATCGAACTCCAGACTGTGGGCACGGTTTGCCTGCAATACTGCACTTAACCACTGCGCCACCATCGCTCCTGCAAACAAAACCAATTTTCAGCTCAGAAGAAATACCATGAAAACAGTTTTAAGTATTTCTTCTGAAATGTGAATCAGGCAGTCTCCCTCTGGCAGGAATTCTTGTCTCCTAGCTTAGAGGACCTCCCATCCTAAGTCAAGGGAATGTGGCATTTTCTTGTCTTGATCCATATGCTTTCTGGCTGCTTGGAGGGACAGCTTTGCAGTTCTCCTAGACCAGGGGGAGTCAGCCTTGGCTCTTTTGTGACTGGTGGACTTCAACTCCCAGAATTCCTGAGCCAGCATGGCTCAGCTTGGAAACTCTCCCTTTCCCCTCAGCATGGCTGGCTCAGGAATTCTGGGAGTTGAAGTCCACAAGTCATAAAAGAGCCAAGGTTGCCTACCCCTGTACTAGACAATGGCTGGTAGAGTTTTATTTTTTTTTCTCACTGAAGAAGGTATGCATAGTGAGGAAAAAACAAGGTTAAGTACACCATCTGTCATTTTTCACATGGTTGTTCCCCATTGGCCAACTGGAGGGGACATTGAATGTGGCAATGACTGTCCTGGTTTGATAAACAAGATCCCATAGTACCAATAGAAGAGAATATGTGTACTTCAGGGTTGAACTATGGAGTCCCTGGTGCTCTCTGAGCTTGGTTGTTTTCTTGCAGATGTTTCATTACCCAACTAGGTAACACCATCTGATGACTTTACCTAGTTGGCTAATGAAACACCTGCAAGAAAACAACCAAGCTTAGAGAGCATCAGGAACTCCAGAGGTCCCAAATTAATGTGAAAAACAAGCCATAAATATAAACTGTTGGGTAACATCTGTCTGAATCAGTTTGGGGAAGTAGTACTTGCTTCTTGCTTAGGATTCAGCTGCACATTCTGGTGGACGTGAACATAATTAAGTTAAATATAGTAGCCACAAAGCAGGTGGTTTCAAAGAAGAAGAAGACAGCGAGTAGAGGAAAGGGACCTAAGAAGCTTTCTTTAGTAACTAAAGGGAGTGACTATCTGCATGACAACCAGGCCCACCACCTTTCTTGGCCTCATCAACCATCATTTGGTCAGTGCAGAAGAAATAGCAGCTGGTGTGATTGATGGCAAGAGATTGTGAGAGTTGTGCTTCAGAACATCTGGAAGGCACCACATTGAGAACCCTTGCTGATTAAACCATGGTCACAAAATGTGCTTGCCAGCCTCTTAGCCCAGAGTGCTGATGTTGAATAAGACCATTGATCAGCAATTCTTCCAAGTATTCAATTGTTTAATGTAGCCCATGATAAATATTGCCCAGCATTGTGGACAGATATTTAATGTTATCAGTGTGCAATCCTTTGGGAGATATCTTGTTTCCACCCTTGTGCCCTGACACTTTTTTTAACTGAGGAGGCTAATGTGGACCTAGAGATTTTCTTCATTTTAAACAGATGCTCTGTCATTGAGCAGTGTGACCTTTGCTCATATAAATGGGATTTATAATTGGTATTTAGCAGCTGATGGTCTAGGAGTAATGATGTCTGATGGCAATTATTCCACCCTTTAAAGTATCTGGTTTCTATACCAGTTAAATTCATCCAGAATCGCCCATCATAAGGACCCCAGTGGGTTTAGCCTATATAGGAATCAAATTTATGGAGAATTCAGATTTAGCATGGTGTATTAATAAGCGCAAATATCAGTTTGAAACTAAAATGGGTCATTTAAAAAAAATACCCAGCTATGAACTTTAAATGATTAACTGCATTCTCGTGGGGCAGTACCAGTTGTTCTGTTTAAACTGTGCACCCATTTAATCCTGTCATCTTAGACTTGTTCCTTTTCTTAAGCATGTTTCAGTAGCAACTTATATATATATTCTTTAACAGATGTTCCGAGTTTTGTTTCATGAGCGTTTCTTTTATTTGGATCTCTAAATAGGACATCTTTTTTCTGTGTTACTTACTCAAAGATATTGAAACCAGTGAGAAGAATTCCTGAATTTTTTTATTCTCTTGCCTTATCTTCCTGGCCGGGGACTGTAATGCCAATAAAAAACAGAGAAGGGGGAGCAAACCTTCTCTTTTTGTAATAATGCAGTTTGTGATAGAATATCTTTACAGTTATCTTAGTTTTGTGTCCATTGCAAACTCTCTGCACTCTTGAAAGAAAATCTCGGCATGATTCATCTTCTTCAAGATTACGATGATAGAATTCCAAATTATCAAAAGCTAATAATAATAATAATAAAGTTGGAAGGGACCTTGGAGGTCATCTAGTCCAACCTCCTGCTCAGGCAGGAAACCCTATCCCATTTCGGACAAATGGCTGTCCAGTCTCTTCTTAAAAACCTCCAGTGCTGGAGCATACACCGCTTCTGGAGGTAGGTTGTTCCACTGGTTAATTGTTCTAACTGTCAGGAAGTTTCTCCTTAGTTCTAGGTTGCTTCTCTCCTTGATCAGTTTCCATCCATTGCTTCTCGTCCTACCTTCAGGTGCTTTGGAGAATAGCTTGACTCCCTCTTCTTTGGGGCAGCCCCTGAGATACTGGAACACTGCTATCATGTCCCCCCTCGTCCTTCTCTTCATTAAACTAGACAAACCCAATTCCAGCAGCTGTTTCTTATATGTTTTAGCTTCCAATCCCCTAATCATCTTTGTTGCTCTTCTCTGTGCTCTTTCTAGAGTCTCAACATCTTTTTTACATCGTGGATCAGGAAAAAGTAGGCACTTTTCCCTTTTTCTGACACCTGGCAGTTCTTCTAAGCTGAGTTATTTATTGTTTTATACCTGCCCAACTAAGGACTCTACGTTCCCACCTACAATATTCTCTGTGAACTATTAGGGGCAATAAATTACTGGTTTTAGTTGCCATCTTAAATTAATTCAGTTTAACTTCCAGATCTTGTTCTTGTTGAATAAGCTTAATTTTACTTTCTTCCACATTTTTAAATTTCAAGTCAAGATGTTGGTGTAGCTAATGCAGATGTCCCTTTACAATAAATCCGTGTCTATACAGTAAGCAAACAAAGCAGAACCTTGTTGTTCTCCACTTATTCTTGTTGGCTGTTCTTCTTACTTCCCGTTTCTCAATTTTAAAAAAATGAAAATATGTTGTCTTTCTTTTATCCCTCTCTCCCATCTCCCTTTCCAAATTAGGATTTCTCTAAGTATCAGCACCCAAAGAACCTGCTGGAATTTGATGAAGAGAATTTGACCATAAGTGACCTCTTTATTCTGGGACAGAAAAACACACCTGCCCACCTGCTAACTCTTTCAGCGCATTCTTTATTCGAAGAAGGTGAGGACAGCGATGAGGATGATGAAGAGGATAATAGTAGCCTCATTCCTTACACGGAAACTCTTCGATTCCAGAAGAAAGATGAGAACTGCTCAACAGTTGAGATGTTTCCAAAATGTTCTGACTCTTCTTTTGGATCTGGCGATTCTCAGCTAAGCGGAGAAGGCTGGCCGCCTGCAACGACATCAGAGCCCTTTTTTACAGCAGAATGGATGACCATGGAGGCTTCTTCTGGAGTCTTCGAGAAGACGTTCCTTTCTGAGGAGTCTGTTATGAATGAATCAGTTAGCCTTGCAGGCGATTTCTCAGCTGCTAGTCAAGAAGGTGAAGAAGTCACAAACAGAGACATTGACTTTTTGAACAAATTAATGTTCTTAGAAAGCCATGGCTTGGACTTTCCTGCAGACTTGAAAATCAGGACTGCAGGAGTCCAATGCAGAAGCATTTTTGCCAGTCTACAAAACTCAAAGACCTCTCTTTGTAGTGAGCCCGAAGGACAACAGGTTACAGAAGAAAAAGGAGGTGAAAATGAGTCGAACAATTGTGAGGATCTCCAGCTAGAAAAACCTCTGCTTGATGTGTCTTGTAAAGACAGGGTTGAAAATGGAGAAGGGGTTGAAAACAATACTGTGAAATCTACGCGCCACAATTATCAACCCAGACCAGTGGTTCTCAACCTTTTTAATGCCACGACCCCCAACCGGTCGTAAGTCGAGGACTACTCAACTGGTGCAGCACCGTTTGCAGAATGGGACTTTTGGAGGGCTCAGCAGGGCAGAGACAGTCTGGACAATTCCTATTGGCTTTTGAAAGCCAATAGAATTAGACTCTATTCATGAGAGTCTATTCTATTGGCTTTCAAAAGCCAATAGAATAAAAGGGAGTAGCACAGCTAAAGAAAAGGGGGGGAAAAATGGCGGACTGCGTTGTTTGGCGACCCCCGTGAAATGGTCATTCGACCCCAAATGGGGTCCCGACCCACAGGTTGAGAACCACTGACCTAGACAGAGACATTACATTTCAACAAACTGATGCTGGTTACTGGTATATATTCTAAGACTAGAGAGGATCTTACCATGATTTTTCTAAAAGATCCTTTGGTGAGAGTTGCACTTTAAAAATCCAAGAAGACTGCATATGTATATATTAATACATATATTTCACTTAAAAATCCCCTTCCCTCTAGCTCTTTGGAATCAGAATGAACCAAAGAGGACAGGTGGTATAGTTAACAGTGTATTTCTAGGTTGCCATAGTCTTACATTGCCTCTTATTTTAAAAACAAAACAAAGCAAAGCTGAACATTCCTAAGCGAAATTCCACTGAGATTCAAAACTGGAACAGCAGTTTTCATTGTTGATTTTGTCATGGAAATTGGAATTTTGCTATGGAAAAGGGATTTTGTCCTGGACAAGTGAGCATTCTTTCCCAACTGAGTAATGTTCAGCTTGAAAATATCTATCCATATTTTGGATATCCGTGTCCTTTTCTCCATTTGTGAATAGTTGGGGTATGTTTTCTCTGCCTGTTTTAGTCTTTTTGAACAGTAAATTCCAATCAGAATCGTAGCAAGCATTCACAAGTCTGTTTCAGTGTTCACAAATTGGATTTATCTTGCTGACCCCAATATGTGAACAAATAACAGTTCAGTCTGGGATCAAGAACTGAGAACAGAAAATACAGAAGATTCTTGTGGAAGTGTTAAGCCAGGGGTCTTCAAACTTGGCCATTTTTAAGACTTGTGGACTTCAACTCCCAGAATTCCTCAGCCAGTGTGGCTGGCTGAGGAATTTTGGGAATTGAAGTCCACAAGTCTTAAAGTTGCCAAGTTTGAAGACCCCTGTGTTAAGCCAATCCAGACTGGTGCTATTCTTTTAAAACTGAAAGGTGCACTTTCTAGAATTAAGGAAGGGATAAAGATAATTCTTTTCGGAGAAAGTTTTTTCAACCTTGCACTATGCCCCTGATGACTTTTTTTCATCAACTCATTGCAAAGAGAAGAAAGAAATATCAGATATGCTTTTTATTGTGCAATTGTCTCCACACAAACTTGGATCTAAGTTTATATTGAACTGAAGTACCAACAAAGGAGAATCTCTGTAGCTCAGGGTTGAAATGAGGTGTCCCTGCCCAACTAGGTAACATTGTCAATGCTAGTGCTGATAGATGCTACTGATGCTATCACTGATGTTACCTGGTTTGGGCCATGAAATGCTTGCAAGAAAACAAGCAACTAAGGGAGCACCAAGGACCCCTAACTGTGAAGTATTTCAAACCAAGAGCCACTGTCAGGTTCTAAATACTTTTCTAGAATGTGTGTTTTTGTGTTATATACCTTCATTTATACCTCATATTGAGATTGCCATGTTGTGTCCCTCATTGGTTGGGGCAGCAAAATTCATAGACTGGGAATTCTGAGAAATGAAATCTACAAGTCTTAAAGTTGCCAAGCTCTGAAATAAACAGTTTGGGGAGTTGAGAAAGAGTGGCATAAGAAAAAAACAAAGTCAAGCTCGTTAAGAGAATGCTCCATTTTTCTCCTTGTTTGTAGACATCTTCCTGTCCTCCTTCCTTCAGGGCTCTCAAGCTTTGTCAGGGGATGTCAGGAGGTGATTTCATCCAATTGACGACATTAATTCCTGTTTTTAACCAGGGTGGTTCCTTTGATCAGTTTAGGGTACACTGGATGCTTCTCTTGGTCATGTCTTTTTTTTTTTTTTTTTAATTGAAAGTTTTATAAATTTTACAAAAAGACAAAAATAATACAAAACAAAAAACAACATATACAAAAAAAAACTAAACATCACATATAAACCCCCCCCATCCCCCACCCCTCACAAACACCCTCCCTTCCCCCCCCCCTGAGCTTCCCAGAGCAGAATATAGGCTTAGTTAAAAATTAGCAAATAAAAATAAAAAATTAAATTAAAAAAATTTTATATTTATATATATAAAAAAAAGTATCTATATATAACATTCTCTATATATGAAAATAAAACTTATGAAAAAGCTATGTAATATTTTTTAATACCCAATCTAAATTGTATAAATTTTATCCATTTGTCCCAAACGGCAAGAAACTTCTCTTGCGTTTGTTGCTTTAAGAAAGCCGAAATCTTTGCCATTTCCGCCAGATAAGCTACTTTAAGAAACCATTCCTGCAATGTAGGCAAAGATTCCTTCTTCCAATATTGTCCTACTAACAGCCTAGCGGCTGTAATCAAATTTAACATCAATACAACCTCCTTTGTATCACAATCTGTAACAATACCCAACAAAAATAATTGCGGAGTAAATTTTACCCTCCTTCTAAAAATTCTCTGGATATTCCACCATATTTTGATCCAAAATGCTTTTATCTCTCTGCATGACCACCAAATATGATAATAGGAAGCATCCGTATAACCACATCTCCAACATTTGGGTTGTACGTCAGGGTACATAAGAGACATTTTTTGTGGATCAAGGTGCCATCTATAAAACATTTTATAAAAATTCTCCCTAAGGTTCTGTGCTTGTGTAAATTTGACATTTCTCACCCAAATGGTTTCCAGATATCCAATGAGACTGGGACACCAAAATTCTGCGCCCATCTAATCATGCAGTCTTTAATTAATTCCGTTTCTGAGTCCATTTCAACTAATACCCCATAAATTCTCTTGATATGGGTTTGTCTTTGATCCTTGACTTGCTTAATAAGATTTCCATCTTCTCTAAGAAAACCCAATTTACAATCCACCTTCCATTTATCTACTAGTTGCCTATATTGAAACCAAGAATAAATAATATTTTCTTGCGCTAAATCTTCCCGTAATCTTAACTGCCAGTTTTGCCCATCCCATCTAAGTAACTGACTATAAGACACCATATCCATTTTTATACCTCTTTTTATTCCTTCTATCGCATGCCAAGGTATGGCCCATAATGAAACTTTAAAATCACTTTTATAATATTTTCTCCAAGTCCTAAGTAAAGAGATTCTTAAAATATGAGATTTAAAGACCCAGTCCATTTTTTTATTAAATATTAAATAGGCATGCCACCCATAAAGTAAATCCCATCCCTCTATATGAAGTATCTCAGGATTTGTCAAATTTACCCAATCACTAATTAGTGTTAAAACCACCGCATCGTAATATAATTTCAAATTTGGTACCTTGAGTCCACCCCTCTCACGGAAGTCTTGCATAATTTTAAACTTAACCCTTGGCTTTTTCCCTGCCCAAATAAATTTATTAAGACCCTTCTGCCACTCACTTAAATTAATCTCATTTTTCAAAATCGGTAACATTTGAAACAAAAAAAGAAACTTGGGTAGAATATTCATTTTTATCACTGCAATTCTTCCCATGAGGGATAATTGCAACTTCTCCCAATTCTTCAAGTCCTTCTGTACCCTGACCCACAACCTTTCATAGTTATTTTTAAATAATTTTACATTAGAAACAGACAACATCACCCCCAAATATTTTACCTTATTAACAATCTCAAAACCCGTCAAGTTAGCCAAAATCTGCTTCTCCTGACTAGACATATTTTTAGGTAAAATTTTAGTCTTATTTACATTAATCTTGAAACCCGAAACCAAACCATAATAATGAATCAACTGTAATAAGTTTACTACAGAGCAATCAGGTTGCGACAAAGTAACAACCAAGTCATCCGCAAAAGCTCTCAACTTATATTCTTTTTTGTTAACTTCTATTCCTTTAATTTCCTGAGACTCTCTAATTTTAATCAATAATATTTCCAATGTTAAAACAAACAACAATGGCGATAAAGGACACCCCTGTCTAGTACCTTTCTCTATTGTAAAAACCTCCGACAAACCTCCATTAACAATAAGTTGTGCCATTTGTTTTTGATATATTACCGTAAGAGCTTGTAATATCTTTTCGCCAAAATTCATTTCTTCCATTACTCTTAGCATAAAATGCCAATTCAATTGATCAAATGCTTTTTCAGCATCTAAAAATATGAGCCCTGCAGGAACTTGGTTGTTCTTGTCTAAATATTCTAATAGATTAATAATTTGTCTAACATTATTTTTCATATACCTTCCAGTTATAAACCCTGATTGATCTTTATGCACAAGATGATGCACCACCCTCATAAGCCTATTTACCAAAATTTTTACAAATATCTTATAATCCACATTTAAAAGAGATATAGGCCTATAATTTTTTGGTAAAGTAAGATCTTGATCCTCCTTTGGAATCAATGATATAAAAGCACTACGCCATGAAGGAGGAATCTCTAAACCCTGTAAGATACCATTAAAAAGATCATTTAATGGTTGGATCATCTCCTCCATTAAAGCTTTATAATAAACAGCTGTTAACCCATCCGTACCCGGTGCTTTCCCTAGTTTCAATTGTTGAATTGCTGAGGCAATTTCCTCCTTAGTAATTAAGCCATTAATTTCATGTTTCTGATCCTCAGTCAGTTTGGGAAAACTTGCCTCAGCTAGATATTTATTTATATCTAGCAGTTGCACGTTAGTAGATTTGTATAACTTTTGATAATAATCCAAAAAAGATTTTTTAATCAATTCCTTCTGAGAAACTAATTTACCCTTGTAATTTATTTTCTCTATTATTCTCTGTCTCTGTTTCTTTCTTAATTGATAAGCCAACCATCTCCCAGGCTTATTAGCATTACAAAATGTATTTTGTTTCATAAACAATAAATTAGTTGCAGCTTGATCTGCTATCAACATATTAAATTGTGACCTTAATAACTTTACAGATTCTTTAATACTTTCATCAGAAGGATTTAGAATCA